TCTGCTGGGGACAGACAGGGAGGGGACATGCAGGTGACAGGGCTGAGGGGAGGTGTGGCAGCCCAAGTGCCACAAACACATGGGGATTGACATGAACAGGGCTTGTGTCTTTATTCGTGGTGTGCAGTCTGTATCTGAAGCCCCCATCACCAGCCCATCCTCTCTCCTTTCCTCCTGGCCCACTGGCAGCCAAAGGGTGAGGGGACGAGCCAGGATCTGTTGCCGAAATGAGAAGACCTAGATCAGAAGGCTGCTGAGAGTAAAACTGTGGTTTATTCAAAATACACCGCTCTAACTCCATTGGTTCTGAAGTGAAAACAACTCACACCATTGGTGCACAGTGCTTGACGCACAGTGATAGAATTAACTATAAACAATGTGAAAAACAAGAGAGATAAAGGATTATTTACATTCTTCTCCAGCTCTTTCCCAGGTCTCTGCCTGGCTAGAAATTCTCAGTTTCTTTCTTTGGCTGAATCTGAGTCCCACACACCAGGAAGAGCTGCTCCTTTGTTCCTGCTTCCCACAGCCCAGCCCAGTCCTCTGCAGGCTCTGGTGACAGGTCAGACACACACCAGGGATGTGGTTCCCTTTTCCCCAACCAGCACACCCATCCAGCCCCCTCCTCTGTGCCCAGCCTTCCATTTAGGGGTGTTTTCATCCCCAAAACCCCCTCCCATCATTCCACTGGTCCCTCTTTTTCACATCCCAGTCCTAGAATGGCAGTGTGGGTGGGGAGTGTAGGTGATTCCCAGGAGCAATTAGCTAATTAAGTTTCAATGTCAGTACTTAGCTCAAGCCAGCAGTGTCCCAGTCTTGACATAGGAACCAGCAAAGCTGTTTTGTTCATAACAGGGATGAGCAGGAGCAGCAGGGGAACACGGAGCACTATTGGAAATGGGAAGAAATGACAATGTCTGACTCAATTCAGAATCCTGAATTATTTCTTTATTATAACTATGCTAAAATACATTAATATACTATATAAAAAGGAAGATACTAAAACTACATACTACTTTCTCTGACTCTAACACAACTCGTGACCCTCTCTCAAGTCCAGCCACAGGTAGGTTGGATTGGCCACCAGGCTCAAACAATCCTCACCAGAATCCAACCAAGCATCACCCCAGGTAAACAATTCTCCAAACACATTCCACATGGGAAAAACAAGGAGCAGAAATAGAAATTGTTTTCTCTTTCTTCTCTCTGTGCACCTCTATGAAAAATCCTGAGAGGGAGAGAAATGTGCTTGCCACAGAGCACGGCTGTGGAACGGAATACTGGAGAAACTGAAGCCCGAGGAATGCTCAGTTTGCTAAAATCCCCTTCCTTCAGAATGTGTCTGGGCTCGCTGCAGTCCGTGAATTTCCATTTGCAAATGGTCCCTGCAGTGTGGTGTTTGCTGAGGCCCCCCACCCTCCAGAATTTACATCCCAAATTACAGCCAGTTGGTTAATCCAGGCTGTGGGATCTGAGGAGATGGATGTCCAGAATCCAAGCAGTATACCTGAGCTAATTAAAGTGGAGGAAGCCTGATTGTAGCAGCACAAAACTCAGCATGGCCCCTTTACTTGGGGGAAAAAAACCTGTTTAATGTGCACACAGCACTTCAAAGTGGTGCTGTCTTCCTTTGCAGCACCTAGAACTTGTTTGACACAGGAAAGCCTTTCCCTTGGTTCAGTTACTTGTCCGAAATGAGATGGCACAGGGCCATTTTGACACCAGTTATCAGAGACTTAACACCAGTTATCTGATACTGGAGGAGCCTTGTCCTGCATTCCTTAGACAGCACACTTCTCCTGGATTCTAAATTATTGGATGTTGTCTCCCAGGGAAAGCAGGAGGGAGTGCTGCTATCCAAATTATTCTGCTGCTCCGCACCTTCCCTTAAAATGACATTTAATCCCCATTTCACCCCACTGGACCCATGTTCAATTCCTAAACTCAGAAACCTCAACTTCAAACCACAGGGATCTTATCAAGGAATGGCCAACAGGACAGGTCCCATCCTCTGGGTCTGTCAGCTTTTAAATGCTGCCATCCAAACACATCTCCCTGGGAAGGTCCTGCAGGATTTGGGGTTCAGATCCTTCTCTTTTTGTGTTCCACTCGTTTTGTCACACTGACTCTTCTGTCAGCACAAAGGATGGGAGACAGCAAATTCTTTAAGGAATAGGAGCAGACACTGAAGGATTTGTGCCCTTCAGCTACACAACACCTGCATGAGACTGCCATATTTAAAAATGCAAAACAGCAGGGTGAGCCAATGAAAACCCAAATTTGGAGCAAAATAAACAGCTGGCCCCAAGATCTGACCCTAACTCTTCAAAGCTTTTCATCCCATGGAAAGTTTTCAGTTCCCAAACTTCAGCTGCACTGCCTCCAGGCTCTTCAGATTCTGATTTCTCACCATCTCAAAACATCCCAAACCCTTCAAAAATCCTAGAAGTTTTTCAGTGAGCGGTCTGTAAAAATTCTAAATAATTAAATAAGCCAAACTTATGCAGGAATAAATTATCCCTGTGCTGTGGGTTGGATTTTAGCACTGGCAGAATTCCTGAAACACCAAGACAATTCTGCTCATGTGTTCAGCCAAGCAGTTCAAACTCCCCAGGAGGGATGGAGCTGGAAACTTTGGAACCTTTGGAAGTCCCTGGGTACTGATTTCACCACGGAACGTGTGATGGGATCAGATATCCAACAATTCCCAGGCTTCCCCCAGTGTTGGAATCTGAGGTATTGATGATTCTGAGATTGTAGAAAGTCTCTGTCCTTCAGCCTGGAGCAGAGGAACCCTTGAAGCCCTGGATTGATGTCCCTCATCAATGGAACATTTATCTCCAAAGTGGGGATCAGCTTTTTGTGCCTTAGCAGCCCTGCCTTTAAGGGGTGGTCACTTTTCTCTGTCTCACTGAGGTTTTTAATTCAAATTTCAGGCATCTAATTCCTCTGAGAACCTGCACCTCCAAGCCAGCTTGACTGATATTTATTTTAAACCTTTAAAACGATTCCAAAAGTTTGGAGTCTCCTTGGGCAGTTAGAACAGGCCTGTCTTCACTTCTCTGGGAAACCAAGCTCTTCGAAAATGCAATTTTTAAATACTTGATATTCTATAAAGTGAATGGAATTGAGTTTATTCCTTTCCTTTGAAGCATAACATAAAACATTTCTTCAAGTTGATGTGAGTGTCATTTAGTGTAATTTGATAACCTGCAGAAGGGCCTGTGTACCTGAAAGCTTATTTTAATTTTTAGCTGCTTGAGCTGGTCTATTTTACTACTTCATTTCTCTCTTCAGAACTTGCTTCTTGGCTAATTAGAGACCCTGGTGCACCCTCATTAAATCTCTCAGGAGTGTTTCTCCCTCAGAAAGTCCTGAGGCTGCAGAACTGAATTCTGCTTTATAACAGACACGTGATCAGATTGGGAGAATTCACCCTATACACATGCAAACATTTATAAATGTGTCGATATGAAATAGCACATTTTTAAACATTGATTTTTTTTTGGCTTGGAAAACCAACATTAATGACTTTTAAAGATCTTTTTAGGGACAGAAGATGAGATTTTCTATTGAGCCCACATCACCAGAGTAGGCAATGAGAAATCCAGACATTTGCTCTGCTTTTAGCATGAGTCTCAGCATGACTCAGGATTCATCCCCTGGTAATTAATTAGTCTCAGTATTAATAACAGCTACTATTGGGAAACTTCCCTTTGTTTACTATTTCAGCAAACCCACCTGATGTTTTTTGTCTTTGAATAACCCGTGCATGAGACAACAGGGTATGTCTGGGTGATTTTATTGCTGCTTCACCCTTTTATAACTGGACATTCCTGTCTGTTTATTAGTAAGAATGAAATATAAACTTCCTACTTCCCACCTACTTCCTTGGAGTAAACTGTGGGAACTCAGAATGTCCCTCAGACATTTTTGGAGGTTCTGGGCCCAGGTCAGAAGCATTTGAGACCCTGGCAGGCAGCTGGAAACAGCTGTGATTTTGGGTTTGAGCCATGGAATGAGTTACCAACCTTGCAGGGAGAACAAGAAGTCACAAAGGTTTAGATATTAGAGTAGAAATAGTTACAAAGTAAAGGGAAGAATTTTTGAGTGCTGTACAGGGGGGTTTTGGTTTTGTACATGGATGGATTTAGTTTTAAGATGGAGGGATTTGGGCCTGCCCTGTCCTCCCTCTTTCTCCTTCCTCACCTCCATGTTCTCGGTGATGTTGGCACTCACAGTTTGGTTTAGAGTAGAAAAGCACCATTTAATATAGGTAATGGGCATTGGGGAAAAACTGTACCCATGTAACACGTAATGTACCATATAAAAGATAGAAAATCACCATTTAATATAGGTAATGGGCATTGGGGAAAAACTGTACCCATGTAACACGTAATGCACCATATAAAAGACAGCAGCAGCCCTGGGCGGGGAGAGAAGAAGCAGTCGGGAGTCAGAGAGGATGTCAGGGTGTGTGTGTGCCTCTGCCTGAGCTGTGAGCAAACCACAGCAGCCCCAGAAGAAAATCTTTTAGATAACTTGCAATGAACTACCTTGAGACCAAACAACAGAAGACTTCTGACCTTTTTTCTGAAAGCACGGGTTGGAGGAGAGATTTTTCCACCACATGGAGCCACCCCCGACCTAGGGTGGGCTTCAGCAGCAATCCTGAAACAAAAACCAGGGAGCACAAGAGGATCCCTACCAGGACTTTTCCAGAGCCCAGGTCAGGGAAGTCAGCACAAATCCAATGGGATTCATCTCTTCCCTGGCTGATCCCTGTGAGGAAGGCAGTGCAGGAACAACGGGAGCAGCACGTGGATCTCTGGGACAATGGGAGGTCCCAGCTGCACCTTGGGGACAGCACTGGAGCCAGGCTCTGCCTGGGGCTGGGTGAGGAGCTCATCAGCACCTCTCTGCTGGAATTGTTTCCAGAGTGCAGAAACAATTCAATTCTCTTGTACACAACTAAGAGTTGAAGCTCTCACCCCACTCTATTTTTAAATAAGAAACACATCTATGGCATTTATTACAAAACAGCATTTATCACTGCTCAGCAAATGGCTTGGCTGGTTTACATATTGAAAAAATTTGATTTGACTCTTCATTTGATTTAACCACTTAAGCACTACTCACCTATTTTATTTCCATGTGCTTGACTGCCCCTTTCTCATCATTCAACTTGAATAAACCCAAATAAATACAAAAATAATAATAAAATGCTACAAAGTCTTATCTCAGGTACGAGATACCCCATCAGGTATATCAAGTATCTGCAGGTACAACAGCAGAATTTAATATCACCAAAGTCCTTTATAAATATTTATGTATAAAAGTTCTTCAGAATCTGGTATTCCAGATTTAATCTGTCCAACAAAGAGTCACCAGAAGTGACGACAGAAATCCTTAAAAGGAGTTGAGCTCCTTCAGGGTGATGAAAGTCTCCTTTGACTTCTTGTACTGCCTGGCAAACGTGGCCACCCTCTGGAGAGCTTCTGCCAGCCCCTCTCCCGTGGTGGCACAGCAGGGCTGCACGTACCAGTTCCTGTCACTGCAGTGCTTCTTCATCTTCAGCTTCCTGGTGATCTCCTCGGCGTTCAGAGCTCCAGGCAAATCCTGCTTGTTCGCCAGCACCACCACCGGGACGTTTTTTATGCATTCATTCTTTAAAATGAGCTCCAATTCCCTCCTGGACTCCTCCAGCCGCCGCTTGTCAGAGCTGTCCACCACGTACAGCAGCGCGCCGGCGTCTTCCAGGAAACTGCTCCAGAGCTCTCTCATTTTCTTCTGTCCTCCAACATCCCAGAATGTCAGTGTGAAATCTTTCCCTGCCTCAATCATGTCCACATTGAAGCCGATCGTTGGCGTTGTTATAAAAGCATCGTTAGACCTGAACTTGTAGAGCAGAGTGGATTTCCCCGCGGAGTCCAGCCCCAGCATCACGACGTTGGCCCCCTTGGTTGAGGGCTTGGCGTTCTGGAGGCCCATTTATCCCGGGGAATTCTGGATTCCAGGGATATTCCCCTCTTCCCTGGGCCCAGTTTGTGTCGCTGAGGTGAGGCAGGAGCAGAGAGGGAGAAGAGGCAGCTGGGAGCTCGGGAGCAGGCAGATCTCTGCACAAACACGCTGCTTTTATCGAGGCGATAAGGAGCCACGGGGCTTCGGAAGCTCCGTGCCAAGCCTGTGGGTGGGACTGGGATGAGTAACCACGGCCCCACTGGCGCAGGCACAAAGGTTACAGGCTGCCAGCTTGTTTGAACAGCACCTGCAGCCTGATCCATGGGTTCCCTGATCACAGCCAGGTCCTGGCTCCCAGAGAATCCCCCGGAGCATCCACAGACATCTGGGAGAAAAATGAGATTGAGGCTTTAAGTGTTAGCTTTTATATTCTGATATTTTATATTCAGATTCTGTGTGTGGGTCTGAGCCTCATGCTAAGTGTTGGTGAGCTCTCCTCACAGAGCAGGAGACAAAACAATTCCTGCTCCAGCTGGGCACCAAGGACAAATGATCCAAATCTCAGCCCAGGAGCACAAACACCGTGGGCTGGAGAGAGAAAAACAAGCAGGGTGGGACTGCCTGGGCTAAAGCTGGAATGGGACAATGAACTCCAAGGTGCCAATGGAGCAGAACTGATCCCAGGGAGAGCCCCCGGGAGCGCTCGTGCATTTTGGGACCATTTTGGTTCATTTGGGTGCAGCCCTGGCTGGGCTCTGGTGCTGCCCAAGGTGGATCCATGGAGGAGATCCTTGAATAAATCCCTGCTTTATTCTGGGACTCTGCCCAGGCTCTGCTCCAGCTCAGCCTGCACAAGGCATCTAGACATGAACACAAGCAGTGAGGAGGGGAGATTTCAGATTTAAGGTTTGTCCATACTTAGCAAGCCACAAAATGAGCAGGAATCTGATTTATCAGTGCAGCTCATCTCCCACAAACTGATCTTAGGTAGTCTCAAATGTGAGTTCCAGCCCATGGACTCAATGAAACCCTGAGAGAACTCCACTAAAACTGGGCTCTGCCCTAAGCAGCTGCCTCAGTGACTCCTCCTGCCAGGGCTGTAAACTCCGGGAGTTTGTTTGTGTTGTTGGTGAACGAGTTTAACTGCGCCCCACAAGGTGGAGCCTGATGCTCTGGTCATCACTGAGATCCCGCTGCTTCAAATTAAAAATTCTCGTTACCTTCATTTCGCTCTACTCCGTGGCTGCCCAATGAAGATTTCCTTTGGGAAAGGGTCAAGAATCGAGGAAATAACCAAGTCTTGATAATTTTTTTTTTTTTTGGCCACCATTCCAAGTAGCAGAACAAAACAAGAGGAGATAAAAATGTAGTCAGCTATTAATGAGTTCCTATTGACTGCTCATTTTCCTGATAGTGGATGCACCTTGGGCTGCTCTGACACATCCTGAGTACTGCAGGAGTTGCCCTTACACCCAGGAAAACATTCCTCTTTGCTTCAGAAAGTCCAGAATCAGCAAAAAGATGTAAAGGTCTTGTAACAAGCTGCTGACTGATAGAGCAATCATTTCGATAATTACGACATTGGTTGCGTAAAATCCACCTCAGCCCTGACAGACAAGTTATAATCTGGTTTCTCTTGAGACTAAAAGGGTTAGACTGGGACTAACTGGGGGCAATGAGAGATGACAGTGACAAACTCACTGCTGCACGTTTTTCACAGTTAATAACACCCATGGATTATGTGTAGGGTTTTTCAGGAGCAGGTCAGGATGTATTAAACCAGGGAAGAAAGTGTTTGCATTCTGAATTGAGTCAGACATGGTCATTTCTTCCCATTGGGTTCGCTGCATTTACAATACTGCAGGACAGAGCAGCCAGAGCACCACCGGCCTTAAAGCCAGCTTTAAATAATATATTTCCAAATTATTTCTGCTGGTAGCTTTAAAAAGGATTTATTTCCCAATACACCTGTTATTACAGTACTTTAAAATCATCATATTGGACTATTGGTTATTCAAATTAGTAATCTTTAATGAATATGAGTATTTCCTGCCTTTGCTTTGGCTGTGAAAAATGCATATTTTATTGTTGGCTTTTTGCAAATGTTACAATGAATATTATATGTGTAATGTTAGAAAGTTGTGCTGTATGAATTCTCTTACATAGTGCGCTAAATGTAGTTTTAGGTTACAACGTAATGTTAAAATAGAGACTGTGGATGTGGGAGAAGTTTTTTTTTTAGGATGAGATACTCACTTTGAGGAACACCTGAATCTTCCAAAGGAGAGGAATTTATGGCTTCTTATCAGAAGAAGCGAATTTCTTCAGGCCTTGCTCAGACTCAAAGAGGCCGTGGGGATTAAAGGAAACAGTTGACATACAACAGACAGAGTTTCTTGTTTAGAATAGAATTTATGCATAACCATGAAGGATTTATGAACATGCAACAAGTGTATTGGTTTAAGGTTATTCCTTTGTTCACAAGCGATGCTTTTCGTGACTTAGTGTCTGAGAGCATCCGGATGTCTGTAATTCTTTGCTTTTTATTGTCTTGTAATTATCCTAACTCTAAACTTCATTACTCTAATTGTATTATTATTTTCATAACCACTTTATTATTATTAAATTTTACAAACTGTGATGGATGCGGGAATGAGGCACAGAATCCTCACTGGGACACTTCCAGCGGCTGGCAGGGGAGGCAGGAGCGCGGTCCGTGCCCGGCCCCGGCGGGCGGAGCGGAGCCCAGGGACGGGCCGGGCACAGCTCGGGAGGGCGGAAGAGGAGGCGGCTCCTCCTTGAAACGGCCGGCCCGGAGCACCCCGAGGGGACACGGTAATGGGGATGGGATGGGATGGGATTGGGATTGGGATGGGGATGGGGATGGGGAGGCAGCCCTGGGACAGCCCAGGCGGAGCGAGACGCGTGCGGGGGTAGCGCGGGTGAGAGAGAGAACCGAGCGGCGCTGCGCTGCCGGGGGAGCAGAAATTCCAAAATAAGGGCTGGAAGGGGTGCCCGGGCTCGGTGAGACCAGAAATCCCCCAAAAAGGGCTGGAAGGGATGCCTGGGCTCGGTGCGATCAGAAATCCCCAAAAAAAGGGCTGGAATGGGTGCCTGGGCTCGCTGCGCTGCTGGAGTGGATCAGAAATCCCAAAAAAGGGTGCCTGGCTCGGTGCGCTGCTGGAGTCGATCAGAAATCCCCCCCAAAAAAGGGCTGGAATGGGTGCCTGGGCTCGGTGCGATCAGAAATCCCAAAAAAAGGCTGGAAGGGGTGCCTGGGCTCGCTGGGCTGCTGGAGTGAATCAGAAAGCCCCAAAAAAAGGGCTGGAAGGGGTGCCCGGGCTCGGTGCGATCAGAAATCCCCAAAAAAATGACTGGAATGGGTGCCTGGGCTCGCTGCGCTGCTGGAGTGATCAGAAATCCCCAAAAAAGGGTGCCTGGGTTTGGTGCGCTGCTGGAGTGGATCAGAAATCCCAAAAAATAGGGCTGGAATGGGTGCCCGGGCTCGGTGTGATCAGAAACCCCAAAAAATAGGGCTGGAATGGGCACCCGGGCTCGGTGCGATCAGAAATCCCCAAAAAAAAAAGGGCTGGAATGGGTGCCCGGGCTCGGTGCGGTCAGAAATCCCAAAAAAGGGCTGGAATGGGTGCCCGGGCTCGGTGTGATCAGAAACCCCAAAAAATAGGGCTGGAAGGGGTGCCTGGGCTCAGTGTGATCAGAAATCCCAAAAAAAGGGCTGGAAGGGGTGCCTGGGCTCGGAGAGGGAGGCACATCCCCCCTGCCATCCCCTCCTGCCCCGCTCATCCCCGCCCTCGGAAAAGTGAGCACGGATGACCTTAAAGCCAGCTTTAAATAATATATTTCCAAATTATTTCTGCTGGTAGATTTAAAAAGGATTGATTTTCCTATACACTGTTACTATGCTATTTTAAAATCATCATATTGGACTATTGGTTATTGTAATTAGTAATCGTTAATGAATATTAGAATTTCCCAACTTTTTCCTGCCCAAGCACGTCCCCTACCCGTGTGGGACATGGATCTAAATCCCTGTGGAACATTCTGAGCCTCACGTGTGTTGCCTCACATTTATTTCAAATAATATATGTGTAATAATATAAACGTGATAATAGAAAAATAATATAAATGTAATGATAGTAAATGTAACAAATAACAAATAATAGAAATGTAATAATATAAAATAAATGCGTTGCCTCACATTTATTTCAAAAGTCACCCTTTTTATCTTTTTGGCGCAATCTCAGCTTGGAAGAAAATGAAAGTAACGCCCTGGAAGGAGCTGCCTGGAAGTGGAGGAGGAGCTGCAGGGGCAGAACCTGCACCATGAGCAGAAGTGCTCAGACCTCGCTGACTCACCTGCCTCACTTTGCTTCAAGCACTCGAAATAGGAGAAGGTGGGGATTGATTTCCCTCTGTGGCTGGGGTTTCCTGAAAGACCTGAATTGATGTTTATTTTCCTTACATAACAGGATTTGTATCCAGTTTTGTTGTTCACAGTGTCATGAAAACAGGTTTTTCTTCCTATAAAGAATCAAAACATTTATAATATTTTTTTCCATTAAGCAGCCAAGAACTGACCAAACGGATCAGTTTTCACTGATATGCTTTAAAGTTGATCATCAAAATAAATGTTATTGATCTAAAATCAGATAATAAGCACTGAGAAAATAACTGAGGTTATTTTCTTCCAGTATGTATTTCATACTGTCCACTGAAAGTCAGATTGATGCATAAAAAGAGAAGATTCCTATTAGTTAATTACTGATTTTGAGAGGAATCAGTCTAAAATTCTTCTATTTAAATGCTTTATGTAAAATTGCTTTGATCTGTTTTAAGGCCATTGTGGGTGAAATGTTCTCCAAATGCTTCGTTTAAAGGATGATTAATTTCAAATCAGATCCTACACAGAAACACGAGGCAGGTGGGCTCTGGAAAATCAAATTCCCCTGGATTCCAGAGTGCTGTTCTGGGGGTTGGATTTATTTGCCAAATCTAAAACATTTATGAGCCCTGCGGTGATATTTTTGAAGATAAGGAGTAATTAACTGCGCTGTGAAATCAAACCTTCCATCATCCTGACTGTGTCTTTGTGTGTGCTCGTGCAGGATAAATATTATTACTGCAAACATCAGAAACCACTTGGAATTCCCACAGTTAGGCACTGGAGTTATTTTGGCTTAAAGATGTCTAAAATAAATGATAGAGCACGTGTGGTTTCAAGGAAATAAAACTACACGAGGGTACAGGCCTGGGGGTCTGGTTTTAAACTGGGTTTTGTGAAGATTTATCCATTGGAATCTCTAATCCTGACATTGGAGCAGCGGCTTCAGCACTGATTCCACAGGAGTTTGGAAGGACCTGCTGTGGATTTGTGTGCCTCAAATCCAAAAATTACCTGGCCAATGATAAAAACAGTCATGATTTTGGTCGATACCATCTTTAGCACATAGCTTGGTTTAAGGAAGTTGATTTTTACCTTCACCCCCCTCCCTGAGAACAAGGAACTGCTCAAACCTTGAAGGATGATGAAATCCTCGCTTCCTTGTCCCACGTGCTCCAGCTCACGCAGGTCAGTCAGACTTTGCCTTTAACAGAAACAACAAAAATCTGAGCCTCTGAGCATCCATTTCCTGAGCACCTGTGGGGTTTTGTGCATGGTGGTGAGTGGAGTCAGAGGCGTGGTGCTGACATCCCTGGGATCACAGCCCTTGGAGCAGGATCCAGGTCTGTGCAGGGGGGGATCTCCAGGGGGAAAGCCACAAGCTTTCAGTGCTGCAGAGCAGAGATTTCAGCCCTGCTCAGCAAACCCTGCTGGGCAGGGGCTCTGTGTCCTGCTCTGCAAACCCTGCAAACCCTGATGGGCAGGAGTTCCATGTCCTGCTCTGCAAACCCTGCAAACCCTGCTGGGCAGGGGTTCCATGTCCTGCTCAGCAAACCCTGCAAACCCTGCAAACCCTGCAAACCCTGCAAACCCTGCTGGGCAGGGGCTCTGTGTCCTGCTCAGCAAACCCTGCAAACCCTGCAAACCCTGAAAACCCTGCAAACCCTGCTGGGCAGGGGTTCCATGTCCTGCTCAGCAAACCCTGCAAACCCTGCAAACCCTGAAAACCCTGAAAACCCTGAAAACCCTGAAAACCCTGCAGACCCTGCTGGGCAGGAGTTCCATGTCCTGCTCAGCAAACCCTGCAGACCCTGCTGGGCAGGGGTTCCATGTCCTGCTCAGCAAACCCTGCAAACCCTGCAAACCCTGCTGGGCAGGGGCTCTGTGTCCTGCTCAGCAAACCCTGCAAACCCTGAAAACCCTGCAAACCCTGCTGGGCAGGGGTTCCATGTCCTGCTCAGCAAACCCTGCAAATCCTGCTGGGCAGGGGTTCCATGTCCTGCTCTGCAAACCCTGCAAACCCTGCTGGGCAGGGGCTCCGTGCCCCGCTGCCATCCCTGGGATCAGGAACGCTTGGTTTGGCTGCTACCACAGCACAATCCCAGCTGGCACCTCAGCCAACACAAGGAAAAGGTTAATATCTGACTAACAGCACTCTGAATGCCGCTTTCCCTTTTCCTTTTCAGCAAGGAAGATGCTCCAGGATTCATGGGACGGATTCTGAGGGGCGCCAGCAGATCCCGACCATGATCCTGGACCTGGTCAGCGCCTTGTACATGAGACCCCTGAAATGGATTTTCCTGTGGCTGCTGCTGTTTGCCCTGACAACTATGTGGTACATAACCTTCTCCTCCAGGGCTGGCCTGGAGAACGTCAACCCTCTGTACTTCTACGAGCACGAGCCCGTGTACCGGCGGCCGCGCCCGTTCACGCTGCGCGAGCGCCCGCGCTGCGCCGACCTCCGCCCCTTCCTGGTCATCCTGGTGGCTTCCAGCCCCGGGGACCTGAAAGCCAGGCAGGCCATCAGGATCACGTGGGGCTCCCGGGATTCCTGGTGGGGCCAGCACATCCTCACCCTGTTCCTGCTGGGGCAGGACACGCAGAGGGAGGACAGGGCGGCGACGCTGGCGGTGGAGGACGAGAGCATCCTCTACGGGGACATCATCCGCCAGGATTTCGTGGACACTTACGACAACCTCACCCTGAAGACCATCATGGCGTTCCAGTGGCTCTCCGAGTTCTGCTCCAACGCCAGGTTCTTCATGAAGACCGACGCCGACGTCTTCATCAACACTCCCAACCTGGTGAGGTTCCTGCTGCAGCTGAATTCCTCGGAGAACGTTTTCACCGGCTACCCCCTCATCGACAACTTCGCCTACAGAGGCTTCAACAGGAAAAGGTACATCTCCTACCAGGAGTACCCCTTCAAGCTGTACCCTCCCTACTGCAGCGGCCTGGGCTACATCCTGGATGGAAAACTGGCTCTGAGGACTTACGAGCTGATGGGCCACGTCAAACCTCTGAAATTTGAGGATGTTTATGTGGGAATTTGCGTAAATATACTCCAAGTCAACATCACAATTCCAGAAGATGCGGAACAATTCTTTCTCTATAAAATCAACTTCGATATCTGCAAGTACAGACATTTGATTGCAGTTCATGGCCTTACGTCAAGCGAACTGGTCCAGTTTTGGCAGGATTTGTCATCCAACACTTCAGAAACTTGCCTTTGACGGTGGATTTATTTAGAAACTTCAGTTTGCTGTAAGAGTGGCCTCTGGAGATGACTCTGACTGCGGGGCAGCGTTTCTCTGGGGCATTCCAGTGCTCTTCAGTGAAAACAGGCACAAAGCACTTTTCCAGGTGTGCATCCCACACCCAGAGGGTGCCTTGGAATGCTCTGTCCCCTCTGCCTCTGAGCAGCCCTGGGATTTCCCCCTGAATCTTCTGGAATGCAACAAATGCCACCGAGGAAAGGCGTTTCTGTCAAGAAAGCAGCTTGGAGGACACGTCCTGAATTCCTGCCTGGACTGGTTTTATTGCTTTATTGCCACTCTCCTTTGTTTGTTCTCAGCGTGGAATTTAACCCAACCCAACGCTTTTGGTTTTTTTTTTTCTGTGTAACCGTCCTGAGACTGTCACACCTCGTTATTGAAATATGTGACCTCCACAAGGCTTCCAGGAGTGTTCCCAGCCTGGGGATCCTGTGGGATCTGCAGGAGCTGGTGAGAAATGCTGGAAATGTGAAGCACTTTGTGTGTCCATATTAAACTTGGGTGTTTCTGTTGGGTGTTCCCAGACCGGGGAGATGGAGTGGAGCTCACGATCAATTTGGACATCCCGAAAACATTGGGATCATCAATCCCCCCACCCCTCTCTGTGTGTGTGTGTGTGTGTGATGCATCCCAGGAGTTTTGGAACCCTGTTGTGATTTATGCCTGTTTCTAAATGTGTTTTCTGGTTCCAGTTTTAAAGCTGAAAAAAGGAAGACATTCCCCCATTGCTGCTTTAAAGAAGACCCAGCTCCTCCCTGTGTGTAAAGACCGTTTTTTAATCACTTTATTCATATCAGCAAGGCCCAGTTTTCAGTAGTTTACACTTCTAATGGACAACGATACAGAATTTGCAATTGCATGAACAGAATTAACCTGGACACATCCACTACACAGGGGAGGGACTAGGGAGACGTCCTGGCCACGCTCCCAGGGCTTCCCAGGGCCAGAGCTCAGGGTGCCCAGAGCTGCAGGAGCAGGGCTGAGGGGTGCCTCCAGCACCCAAGGGACACTGCTGGCTTCTGCTCTGCTCCACAGCTGCTCCTGGGGCTGGGGTGCAATTTCAGGAGGGGTTTGTGTGGTTTTTTTAGGGATGAAAAAGTCTTGGGGACAACACTCTCCAGACAAGGGTTTCAGATGTCAGTGTTCTGATGGTGAAAAGGTCAAAGCTTTTAAAAATTAAAGGCTATTTTTTTATTTTTTTTGAGGGGGGGGAATACAGTATTGCATAACTGAGGGAATGATGCTCTTGTGTTCTGAGATCCAGGTGAAATTCCAGCTGTGCTGTGGGTTTAGGAACTGGGGTTTGATTGTTCTCCGAGCAGGTCCTGGAGAACTGCCTTGTTCTGTGGTTGTTTCACACCTCAAACCCCAAACCCCTCCGTTCTTCTCTCAGCCTGCCGCGTGAAATGCTTCGAAATAAATTATTTACCACAAGAACACTGATACTACAGCACAGCTTGTATTGCTTTTTCCAAAATAAAAATGTAATCATGACTCTGCCGCCTTCAGGAAATGGATAAAGCAGAGAGTGCTCGTGGTGAGGGAGGGATGAGAGTCCTGGGGAGGTGAGGATGGCCAGAAATTCTCCTGCCACCTGCAGGAATTTGGGGTTTTTGTGCCCCAAAGGCTGACACTGCTCACAGGTTCCAAGGCTTAGGTTTATACACAGTGATCTCTTTGTGCCACCTGAAGTTAATTGTCATTTACAGTGCCAGCAGCATTGGAAAAACATCCATCCTGCTCCTGGTTTTCCTAAAAAAAAAACAAAACCTCATTTCCAAATCTGGCTTGTATATGATTCTGACTTTATTATTGCTTAAAAGGCTGTGAAATTCCAAACTGAGCTCCTGTTTCTGCTCAAAGCCATTCCTAGGGAGGTTTTCGGTGTGAACAGCCTGGCAAAAGGTGAAAAACCTTAAAAGTATGAAATAATCTGGGCACTGAAGTGGGGGTGGGCTGGTGGCAAATTTTATTGCATCTGCCTAGAATATTGTACTAAAAACAAAGTGTAAAACACAGACTAAAGGTTTCCCAATTTTTCCTCATGCAGCTGTATTAAATCAGAATTCAAAATATTTGTGATTTTTATAGGAAAACTCTGGGGCTTCCTGACCCAAAAAGTCTAATAATAATAATAAAAATAATATTAATAATAATATTAATAATAATAATTAATTGGGCAATAATGTTTGGAAGTTGCTGCTGGATAGGGAGCAAAAGTGGGTTCCAAGGTGAAATTCCCAGTCTGGCTGTTATTTCAGGGGAGTTAAAATGCTGCAATGCTCTGTGTGCATCCTGGCACAAAGAAATTCCCCATAAATCAGAAGGGAGATGTAGGGGCAGCACTCCCTGTGCTCAGTACAATAGGATTTTTGGGATATTGCCCTAAATTTTGCCTCACGTTTATGGATGACTGGTGTCAGAGAAGCTGCCTGTGTCCATGGATGCAACTCAACAGGCTTAAAAAAAAAATGCAGGATTGGCCATGAAATATGCTTGGAAAAAAGTGCTTTAGTTCCCTATTGCTCAGATAATTTAATTCCCAAAATTCCAGACTGGTTTGGGCTGAAAGGGACCTTAAAAACCACCTTGTTGCACCTCAGGGCTGAGCAGAGCAGGCACAGGAGCTGCCCAAATCCACGAAATCCACACATTTTTCCCTCAGGCATTGCCCTCAAACCTCTGCTTGTGGTTCTGGCAAGGCTCCAGCTGCACCCACCAGGTTTTGCTTCCCAGAGCACCCAGATTATCTCCAGAGCTTGTCCTTGGAATTTTAAGTTACCTCAGGAAAATCCAGATTTATCCACCTGCTCCCCTAAGCCTTGTCCAGTCAGCACTGGGAAAATAAAAGTAACAAAAGTTCAGCTCATTATTAATTATCTGTACATTATTTTTTTTCTCTGGGAGCTTTGGAAAGGCCATTTAGGAATATATTGGGCACAAGGGGCAGCAGCTCTGGGCTCTGCAGTGGCCAAATTCCAGCAGAACATTCTCACATGGAATTTTGTTCAGAGGCCTAAAATCCTACTTGGGGGGGGATGAAAGGCTGGTGAGGTGTTTTTTCTGCAATATAATCACTGACTAAATGCTTCTCTGTGTAAAACAAATATCAGCTACATTAGCAATAAATCCATATTCTATAAAGCAGGGCTGTCCTGTATCCTGAGACACAAATTCCCTTTTTTTTTTTGAGGCTGTGGCATTGGTGTTTCTGCAGCCAACACTGCTCAAGCTGATGCAGCACTTTAATTCTGACTCCTGGATTCTAAAATCTTCACAATATTTTTAATTTCACCCCTGAGAATGGTTTAATCCTGCAAGAACAGCAGCAGTGGGAGTTGAAATCCTTTATCCCGGGAGCTGCTGTGGGGTTTGTGGGAATGTCTCAGGCAAGCAGAAGGAGCCAGGGTGCCACCGAGCCAGGGACAGGCTGGGACAGCCCCAATCCTGCCAGGAATTCCGGGAGGGATCCCAGGGATGGATGAACTCCTCAGCAATCCCTGCTGCAGGCTGAGGGAATCATCAGAGCATCCCAGGGGAGTGACCTGGGAGCTGGGACATCCCTGGGAACAGCTGAACTCCTGAGCACTGGGACATCCCTGGGAACAGCCCAGTTTGGGAACAGCCCAGTTTGGGAACAGCCCAGTTTGGGAACAGCCCAATTCCCCAGCACTGGCAGCTGGGACATCCCTGGGAACATGAATTTGGGAATAGCCTAATTCCAGAGTGCTGGGATGTCCCTGGGGACAGCCCAGTTTGAGAACAGCCCAGTTTGAGAACAGCCCAGTTTGGGAAAAGCCCAATTTGAGAACAGCCCAGTTTGGGAAAAGCCCAGTTTGAGAACAGCCCAATTTGAGAACAGCCCAGTTTGGGAAAAGCCCAATTTGGGAACAGCCCAGTTTGGGAAAAACCCAGTTTGGGAAAAGTCCAATTTGGGAACAGCCCAATTTGGGAACAGCCCAGTTTGGGAAAAGCCCAATTTGGGAAAAGCCCAATTTGAGAACAGCCCAGTTTGGGAAAAGCCCAATTTTGGAACAGCCCAGGTTGGGAAAAGCCCAATTTTGGAACAGCCCAGGTTGGGAACAGCCCAATTTTGGAACAGCCCAGTTCAGGAACAGCCCAGTTCAGGAACATCCCAATTTGGGAACAGCCCAGTTTGGGAAAAGCCCAATTTTGGAACAGCCCAACTCCCCAGCACTGGCAGCTGGGACATGAACAGCCCAGTTCAAGAACAGCCCAATTTGGGAACAGCCCAGTTCAAGAACAGCCCAATTTGGGAACAGCCCAATTTGGGAACAGCCCAGTTCAGGAACATCCCAATTTGGGAACATCCCAGTTCAGGAACATCCCAATTTGGGAACATCCCAATTTGGGAGCAGCCCAGTTCCCATCCTGGCTCAGCACAGGCTCAGGGTCCATTTGTCACCTCGGGCCATCCACAGATGCCCTTTGGCAGCCACTCCCTGTGCCCTGAGGCTCCGGATGTCCCCACGGGGATGAAGCCACCAAGCTGCCCTGGAGCTCCCAGCTGTGCCCAGGCAGCTCCCAGTTTTTGGGAGGAGAGCAGCAGCAAGGCTGGAGACCTGCTGCCACAGCCAGAGGGACATTCCTGGCCACAGCCAGAGGGACATCCCTGGCCACAGCCAGAGGGACATCCCAGGCCACAGCCAGAGGGACATCCCAGGCCACAGCCAGAGGGACATCCCTGGCAGCCCTTCCCAGATGGAGGATGCAGTGTTAAGGCAGTGGGAGAACCCTGCACTGGTCAGGTTGCATAAGCAATATGGACAAGGAATTCATCCTGTCAGCCTCCAGCTGTGTCACGACAGAGTTTGGCACAAATCAGCACCACTGGAAAGTCGGAAATGCCTTCACTTGGAGGGAAAACTTCCAAACCTTCCAGCTGGGAGCACAGGTAGGCACTGCACGTGGATGTGGGAGAGCACACAGAGCCTCTCACCTCCACCAGTCCTTCCTCTGTAAACCTGAAGCAGCTGAAGCTCCTTTTTTAAAGCAATTGAAGCAAAAAGCCCCGGGCTGAGCAGACCCTTGGCATGGATGGCTCTGGCCAGGACAGCCCTGCCAGGGATGGGGAGAGGAAGCTGAAGGTGCTGAAGGGGTTCTTGCTGCAGCTGCAGCCACTGGGATGTGCCTGGAGGGACAGGGAATGATCCTGGGAGGATCCAGGCAAACCTGCAAACTGCTCCTGCCCCGCTGTGTTTGCTGAATGCTGGGGAGAGGCTGAGCTCCAGCAGGAGCTGCTGTGCCAGTGCTCCCTCCTGCCCCAGGGCTGTGCTCAGAGCTCATGGATCCCCCAGCAACGCTCCCTGGCCTTGGGATGCTCCGTGCAGCCAGCAGCTCCCCCTGTGCTGCCCTCCTGGGCATGGCCATCACTGCAGCTCCTGCCCGGGGCACGGGGCAGTGGGGATGCTCTGCACACAAACATCCCTCTCCTTCAGAGCTGCTGCCTGCAGTTCCCCTTTCCCCGTGCCCTCCAAAGGGAACAGTGATGGGGAACACGGGGAAGGCAAACTCCACACCCTGAGCTCTGCCTGGAGCTGCTCCCCCACTGCTGCTGGGCCATTCCAGCCCAGGATCCAGCCCTGCCAGGGAATCCTCACCCAGGGGCTGCACTGGCAGCACTCTGACCTCAGCTACCTTTGCACACTGAACAGCTGAAGGAATTATTCCCAATTCCTGGCAGCTGCTCAGCTGAGCAGCATGAGGCCAGGGGATTGGAAAGTCAGGAAACTCCCATCCCATCCCATTATCCCATCCCATTATCCCATCCCATTATCCCATCCCATCCCATCCCATCCCATCCCATCCCATCCCATCCCATCCCATTATCCCATCCCATTATCCCATCCCATTCCCTGGGAAAGGAGCAGTGCCTGCTGCACAGAGGCTGCTGGACACTGCTCAGGGCTCTCCCTGGACTTCAGCACGAGCACAGGGGTCCAGACACATTTTGGAAATACCACCAGAGCCAATTGAGGGCTGAGATGATCCCCAGACAAATTAAAGGAGGGAAGTTTGTTGGGGGAGAGGTGACCTAGGGGCAAAACAAGACAAAGATGGGGGATTCCTTCTCGAGCAGAAGTTTGTGCTCTTTGAGTTTTTGCCTTGAGAGACCCCGACCCCCTCAGCCCCACCCCAGAGCCCTGCAGGTGAGCAGGGGGCAGGCAGCTGGGGAATGAGGAATATTGTCCTTCCCCAAGGAACAGGCAAGGCCAGGAATCCCTCACAGCCCTGACCCAGCTCCACAGCCAAACACAGGCAGCCTCCATCGCCCTGGAGACTTGACAGATTGTCCAGGACCACGTTCTGGGGAGATCCCAAGGATTTCTGTAAGGCAGGATAAGCATAAAGGAGCCATCCAGAATCCTGCCTGCCCTGTCCCTCTGCCATGACACAGCTGGTACCGGAGGTGCAGCAAACCCAAACTGTCCTCATTCCAACCTACAGCAGTCACAGATCCCAAAATACAATTA